GCGGACGTGCCGGTTCTGCTCACTTAAGGAGGAAACAGCGTCTGGCCGTGCGGCGGCGCGTGGGGCAGGTTAATGGGGCCTGAAGCAACTGCGGTCGTCTCGGCAGCCTGGAGTGCGGCGATGTACTGCTGAGGAACCCACTCTATTGCCTCGTTATTGACAGAATGTACTTTATTTCCCTTTCTGCAGTGGCAGACTAGGTGGCTTCGCGTTTTTCTTTGGCTTCTGTTCCCCGTGCTCGTTTCCTGTTTATACCTTTTGCTTTGACCAACCTGTTCCTCAGTGCTGCTGGAGAACTGTTGGACTAGCGAGGGAGGCCCTTGCAATCTCCTGCTGCCTCTCCCTGCAGGCATACGGCCTCCCGTGGTGAATGGCCCGATGCCAGCACGGCCGCTGGTCGCGCTGCTGGACGGACGGGACTGCACTGTGGAGATGCCCATCCTGAAGGATGTTGCTACAGTGGCATTTTGTGATGCTCAGTCAACTCAGGAAATCCATGAGAAGGTGGGCAAGGAAGCGTGCGAGCATTCAGACATGGAGCTCTGCCTCTTGGGCAGCCAGCCAGACGGTGATCTGTGCCGTTTTTTGTTGCAGGTGCTGAACGAGGCCGTGGGAGCACTGATGTACCACACCATTACCCTCTCCCGTCAGGATCTGGAGAAGTTCAAAGCCCTCAGGGTCATTGTGCGCATTGGCAGTGGCTATGACAACGTGGACATCAAGTCTGCTGCAGAGTTAGGTATGATGGCAGCGTTAGGTGCCTGTGGTGGTCACAGCTGGGTGTAGTTCTGCACATTATAGCTGACTGCATTTCAGAGCTGTCGTGTGGAAAGCTATGGAGCTCTCAGTACCAGGCATCGCTGGGACGCTGAGCACGGCAGGGCACATTGCTCTGCTCTGGATGGCTGTGCCTTTGTTGTTGGGTGGTAGTCAGAAACCTGAAGGTGGTGTCTAGGTAACTTCTGATGAGGTGACTTTGGGGGTTTTGTGAGCAAAGCACTGAGCAAACTCCAATGGCTGAAAGCTGCCTGCAAATGCTGGAAAGTCACTGTAAACGCGTGGCGAGTTCTGATAATGTGTATGCAGGTGGGCTCTGATTCAGCACTTTATTGGGGATCCCTTTAGAGCCCTAGGCATGTGAGCAGTCTCTGGATTGAGTGACAAAACCTGCTATTTATTAAATACACTGCAGTGAGACTTCTGGACCTTGTCATCTGTTAGGTGAGATGGATAACTTAAGTACCCTGCCCCTGCTTTTTCAAGGTTTGTCAGGGTTTGAAACCTTCCTTAATATCATTCGGGGCAGGTTAAGCTTAAATCAAATACAGCTGTATATAAAATTGAGTTAGGCATTTTAGTTTTCAGATCTGTAATAACAGAGGAATTTTAGGTAAATGAAGAGTGTGCATTTGGCTGGTCCTTGAATTGGGTCTAAAGAGCCTTCTCATCTGGGTGATTCAACAGAACAGGCTCAAGAGTGCTTGGCAAGGTCCTTGGCTTTCATCCAAACTTTGCATTTTTGGAACCTAATCCTGTTCTAGGGTTCTTTACTTAGTCACCGTCCATATATTTGATTCATTCAGATTCAAACTTTCCCTTTTCCCCTACTCCACACTCATTGATCAAGGTGAAATGAGTCAAAGTTCCTTCACCATCAGGCTGTTGCTTGCCCCTTCTAATGACCCCAGTGCTTGGCCAGCTATGCTTTTTCATGGACAATTAATGGTTATTTTCATGCTTAGCTGGGCCCTTAATTCATTCTGAGGTAGAAAACTGTTTCTCACATGTTCTGAGTTCTGAGACCAAAGAGCTGTTGTGTGTGTTTGTGTTCTCTTACATTTAGGCAATAATATTGCATGCCGACACAAACTTTTGTCTAGCTGTGTAACAGATGAATGCATGAGGTGTATCTTCTACATGTCCTGAATGAGACAGGAACCAGTGAGAGTAAGAGAAGCTGGGTTTTTCTGTCACCCCTCTCATGTCCTCTAAGCTATCTGTGTGGCACTATGGCACAATTGCAAATGATTTGGTAGAGAAAAGGAGTCAGATATCTGTGGCCATTAATCTTCAAGTTCTCATGTGTCTGAATTTAGCCAAATGTCTCCTCTGAACAGGATTACAAAACAGTAATGCCTTTGACCATTGCCTAGATTTTAGTCCTAGCTTTTAGCTAGGTGGTGGACTTTTGAGGCAGAAGAGTTGACTTGGTTTGGTGAGTGGCTAGGGTTATGTTTGGGAAGAGACCATTTTTTCATTAGTTATTGTATTTATTTCTTGGCTGGTTTGTCAAATGAAGGATAGCAGCAGTGAAAGGGCTTTGTTGCCAGTCCCCCCTTCTTAATTTCTTTCTAAAAGACTACTCAGGAGTAACCAGATTTTGCTATAGTGTTCCATCTTTCCCTTTCCTGGTAGTAATTTGTACTTCTAGGACTTTAACTCTCTTTGCATTAGTAATTTAACTGATAATTCTAGCCATGGGCTTTATGGCCCTTTGTGGTTGTGTGTTGTTCCAGAGTTAGTGTGTTACATGTTGTCACTTGTAAGTGTAACTTCAAATGTATTTGGACAGGCTCCTGTGGCTTTTCTCTGCGTTTAGTGAGTTAGTTACTTATTGTTGCTTCTAGGGAAGCTGATGCTTGCAGCGAGCATCTGGCCTGTGAGGCATGAAGGAGCTCAACCATCTGTCTTAATTCTACAGTCTGCCAGTTAATCTGCCAGGAGTGTCTGTGGAAGGAGAGCATCTTTTCGAGCACAGATCTCTTAAGACAGTCAGTTTCTTGCATCACTTGTATGACCCAGTTTTCTCATCTCAGCCTGTTTGTTTTTTTTTTCCAGAGAGTGTGTCAATGAAATGGATATTTATAAGGAAGGAATGGTATTGCCTCGGGGATTGAAAAGCTGACTGATCACATCTGTGTTGCTGTAGAATGAGCTTCTGAAATGAATCCTGTGTTTCTTTGCAGTAGTTCTGGAGTACTGAATTGTCTTTCAGGACTTGTGCCTAAAGAGCTTTATGTTGATTTAGCGTTGTGATGCTTAAAAAATCTTACATGACCTCTGTGGCTTTGTAGGCATTGCAGTTTGCAACATCCCTTCCTCCTCAGTAGAGGAGACTGCTGACTCCACCCTCTGCCACATCCTGAACCTCTATCGCCGTGTGACTTGGCTGCATCAGGCTCTGCGGGAAGGGAATCGAGCCTCGAGCGTCGAGCAGATCCGAGAGGTGGCTGGGGGCGCTGTGCGTATCCGTGGGGAGACTTTGGGCATCATTGGGCTAGGTAAGTGCTGGGAATTGTTAGGCTGATGAGAACTGTGAAGGTTTTTGGGACCTTGAGCCGTACGGTGAAAAAAGTGATACTTTTACGGCTGTTCTTTGTGAAACATACTGACTCCCAAGGAATGCTAGTGCCCTATTCTGTCATGCTGGATATCTTCAGGAGTTGGGTGTATGTCATGGGATTGGGGATTCTTTTTGTGTTTCAAATGGCTGGAAGAATTGGAACATTCATGCAGCTCTTCCTGGTGACTGTTTCCCTGTGTGCTAGGCTCTGTATCAGTAGCAAAGCCATCTGAAAGCTACCAGTTCCTTCTCTAAGTTCTCATAGGCAGATTATTACTGCCTCTGACTCAGGGTCCAGATTTGGTTTGAAAGCAGAGCTTGTTCTAGACTAAGCTCTGGCTATTGCATGGGGAAGGACTAGAATTAGCGACGTGGGATCAGCACTGAATAGCCTCCTCTGGATCCCTGTGGCAATCCAAGGGATTTCTGGGGCTGCATTACCTTGGGCCCTGGCAGTAAACTCCAGTGTAGGCTCCCAGTCTACCCCAGTATCTTGTCTTTAAAGTTTGTTTTACCTTTCCTTGATGATTGTGGGTTTTCTTTTGTGAAGGCCGAGTTGGACAGGCAGTGGCTCTGCGAGCCAAGTCCTTTGGCTTCAGCGTGATTTTCTATGATCCCTATCTGCCGGATGGAGTGGAGCGATCCTTGGGTTTACAACGAGTAGGAACCCTGCAGGATCTACTAATGCACAGCGATTGCATCACATTGCACTGCAGCCTGAATGAACATAACCATCACCTCATCAATGACTTCACTATTAAACAGGTGCAGCAGGAGCTTGATTTCCCCCACAGAGCACTGTGGAAATGAATGCAAACAGAAACTGCTGCTTTCACAGAGCTGAGAGCTTGTGAATCCTGCTGCCTCTGTAGCTGCCTTCTGCTGCCTTTGGAGGCTGGAAGCGTGTGGATTTGGGTGCCTGTGCTTTGTGCTCTATAAAATTTCATGTTAAGAGAAGAATAGGGTTGGCTCTTCTTGCCAAGTACTTTCATTTATAAAGAATATTTTGGGTGATTCAATAACTTCAAATTACCTATTCTACTGTGCTGGTTAGAGCTAAACATGGTGTGGCTGGGACTGTGTGTTTCTTTACACAGCTTTGCCAAGGCCTCTCTGCCCAAGCCCACTGCAAAGTCAGTCTCGGGCTATATGCAGTAATCTATGAATGCTTTCCAGTGCTTTTATGAGAGATATCTGGATGCTGTAGTCTAGTTTTGTATAGCTGGATACTTGATTCATGTCCTCTTTCTTTTTGAATGTAGTAGGATGAATATGGAGTGCAGAACTTGAGAGTTCCACTTTTTCCCTTGTTATCTTGCGGTTTTGTTTGTTCATTTTTAGAGCAAATTTCTCAAGCATTGCTTGCAGGCATTTCCCCTGTGGTTAGCTCTGCAGCGAGAGCACTCCTAGTTCGTCCAGGCCTCATCTAATCAGTGCACACTCCTGCTTATTTCCAGTAGACTTCCCAAGATTCACTTAGCTTCCATGAAAAGTCTATTCCTAATGCACTTAATGTTTTTCTTCTTCCAGATGCGCCAGGGCTGTTTCCTAGTGAACACAGCCCGGGGAGGGCTGGTAGATGAGAAAGCCTTAGCACAAGCCTTGAAAGAGGGGAGAATCAGAGGAACAGCATTGGATGTGCATGAGTCTGAGCCTTTCAGGTAACGCTGTACCTGCTCGCCTGCTGCTGTCCGGTGTCTCACCTAAGCTGGACAATTCTTTGGGGGGGTTTTTTTGCTTGGGTCGCAGTGTCCCAAGAGGACAGATGGAGTTATAACTCCTGGAGAGATAACTCCTTTTTTTGTTTTTACTTCTGCCCCACAGTTTTGCTCAGGGACCCTTAAAAGATGCACCCAATGTTATCTGCACCCCTCACACTGCCTGGTACAGTGAACAGGCTTCCATTGAATCCAGAGAAGATGCAGCTAAAGAGATCCGCAGAGCTATTACAGGTAATGAAGATTGTGTGCTCTGCAGCTGCTGCTGAATTAGTGTTCTTTTGTTGGTTTGCTGCAAGGATTATGCTGCTTGTTCTGAAAACTTAGACTCACACTCCAGTTCCAGAAACCAGTTACTATCTTTGCCTTCTGAGAATTTTGTACCTAATGCTGGAGTGGCTCTTTCCCCCCCTGGGAAAGCCTTTTGCCTACAGCTTCCAAACCCCTTGCAATAATTCCTTTGACAGTTATACTGTACACTTTTTTCCTGAAGCAGTACATATTGTCTCTTGAAGAAGGTGAGGCTTGGCAATTGCAGTTTGTGGCAAATAATTTTCACAAGATAACAGAAGTGGGAAGGAATGATCAGTTTCTTGTCTTCTCCAGAGACCAGTTGCTCAGAGGAGAGTCTCCCCTGCCCAGTGTTACCCTGTGGAGGTAGATGAAAAAGATGTGCGTTTCCTTTCTACTTTCCTCTGTAAATGCTGCAGGGAACAAGCCCCCTCCTACCTGTGTCCTGTTTTTTTGTCATTCTTGGTGCTCTTGCAGGTCACATACCCGATGCTTTGAGGAACTGTGTTAATAAGGAGTACTTGCTGTTAGCAGCTCAGTGGTCCAGTATTGATCCTGCAGCTGTCCACCCAGAACTCAACGGAGCTGCAGCTTACAGGTGAGATGTGTAGGTTGTCCAAGCATATCTTCCTTCTGAAGTAGGCCAACATCCCTCTTTGGGTTTGAGAACTACTGGTACCTGCAAACAGGAGTGTCTCTGTTCCTATATGCTCTGTACATGGGCTCTTTCCTGAAACTTAACAGCAGCACTTCTAAAGCTGTAGTAGGATTTACATGTAGTTAGTTCCAGCTGCGTACTGGTCAGATTTTCCAGATCCGTGCAAGACCTGCCCTAGACAGATCCTAATATAAGAAAGTCTGCTGGATGCCCAAGAGAAGGCCTGGAGCTTGACATTTAGAAGATGTACAGATCATTAGGGCTCTATGAACAGTTTGTACCTGTAGCCTGAAAATGGATTATTATTGAGGTGTTGTCCAGTGGATTTGAGCAGTGGTCTGAATAGAGTGTATTTCGATTTCTTTATCTGTTACAGACCTACCAAGTGATTGTGTGCAGGTTGCTTCCCTTCTGTTTTCCTCCTACCTGCAAAGTAGAAAATATATGGTCTTCCCTTCTATGAGAAATCCACAGAGATTGAGATAAGTTCATGGAGAAGGTACAGGGAAGCAGAGTGGAAGTAATAGAAGAAAAGTTCATGAGCCATTCACGAATGTCACTTTCCTATTTTTCATCTTGCATCTAGCTGTTTTATTAGTTCAGCTCCTTACTTTTTCTGCCTTGGAGCCCAGTGAAGGATAACTGCAGCTTACACTCCTGCTACTGATGGGGAGGTAATTCCCAGCCCTTTAGGTGCCTTCATCCAGTATCTCACATTGTTTTCCATTGGAGATAAACTTTGTACCCATTTCCAAATGCTTAGGATGTGACCTGAGGCTATCTCTATCTGTGAACAGGGTCATTTGGTATATCACTTCTACTCTTCAGCTCTGGAGACTTTTCTTGTGTTGTGTCTCAGACCATTTCTGTTAGAAATAGGGATTTGTATTCAGCAGGTACCTGAGGACACAGCTCCTTTCCCCTTGAATAACTCCGTTGGACAAGCTTGTAATTTCTATGTCTCTGTTGATTTTAGGTTTCCTCCAGGAGTAGTGGGAGTAGCTACCCCTGGACTCCCAGAACCACCAGTAGTGGAAGGGATTGTAGCTCATGGGATCCCTCCTGTTTCTCACTCTGCACCACGTACCCCTTCCCCAGGAGAGACGAGCAAAGTGGATCCAGACAGAGAGATTCCTG